CAAATTAAATACCATACAAGGAAACATAAGTAAAAGCAGTTTATGTATTTGTTAAATATACACTTCATTGAAAATTCTTAAAAATCACACATATTTATGATTGGATATGTTTTTTAAAGTGGTTTATTTGTAGAATTGGATGCAGTTGATAAATTAGAGTCCGTAAAAGAAATCGATTTTTTTTTTTAATATTAAGTGATTGATACAAAGTGTAGTATTTATTTAAAAAATGTAAAGTAATGATTAGTGATTATTTGTACATGATAGATTAGTAGTAAATTCTATTTAAAAAATGTAAAGTAAAGATGAATTTTTTACATTAAAAGATAGGTTGGAAAAATATGAAGACTGAAGTGAAGTGAAAAAGTAAATTGAAGTCTTTAAAATATTAAATTGTTCTGAAACTAATTTGACTTAAAAATGCTTTTGGAATCAAAATGACCTGACGAAGAAGTCTTTACAATGTTAAATTTTTTGAAATTAATTTGACTTAAAAATATTTCGCCTGCACCATTATTTCGATTGTATCCAGTATTCTATATAGATTTTAAACATAATTTTTTAAAATATTTTATTGCTATATTTTTATTTATAGAAAACTCAAATACTAATTGACTTTAATTTTTTTTTTTATATTTAAGGTTTTTTTTTTTCAAAAACTTTGAAATCATGTACCGCACAAATCAATTTTTTGTCAAAAAAATTAAGTATTTTTTTTTATTAAAATATTTTAAGAATTTTTCTTTTCGATATAATACTCCCCATCTTAATTCTAATTCAATTTTATAGAAAATATTTATTTATTTATTTTTAAATTCATAAAACTATTTATTTGAACATTTTTTTTAAAGTATAAGAGTATTTCCAATAGACTATATTTGAATATTGTTAATTTTTTTAATAACTAAATATCTCCCAAGCGGTCTTTTAAATGTGCGAGATTAAACTCATTACTATTTTGTTGTTGTAAACCGTCGAGTCATCGGCGAACGACGTCTTTACATTAAACTACAACTCACTACTTAAATTATATAACTTAGCACGAGATTTTGAGTCTGGCGTGTATATCATTTCACCATGGCCACATCTTCGTTGATCATATTCCACTATTAACGACTAGTTCTACAAGCCCAAATTTAAACTCACTACTGCGAAAACATCCATACATTAAACTACAAACTCACTGCTATATATTAAAACTCAGCTACAAACTCACTGCTATATATTAAAACATCCATACATTAAACTACAAACTCACTGCTATATATTAAAACTCAGCTACAAACTCACTGCTATATATTAAAACGCTACAAAATTTATTTCACTGTATGGGAACTAAATTTAATGTAATTGTATAATGACATGAAAATTTATTTTTATATTTATTTATAATGACAAATGTTTTCTTTAAACGGAATACAAAAGATAATCTATTTAATCTGTTGATTCGACTTTATCCATTAGGATTATTTAGAATTATCGCCAACCATCTATATTTTTTTTTTATTTTTTTCTAAAACAAAATAGAAAATTTTTCACGGCATCTTCCATACTTTTCAACTAATAAAAATTTTAAAGTTACTTATCATTTGTGTGAAATGAATGATATTATTATTTCCCTTTTAATTTTCTCATAAATCCTATCAAACTTTCTCATATAAATCCATCTCATATATAATTTTGGATTTTGAATGTGCTAAACTAAGTAGCAAGTGAGCATGCTTTGGAGTTATGTGACAAAATCTCATGTTTTGGCTTTTGACTTGAATATATTTTAATTTATCTTTAATTAAAAAATAACTAGGGTTTGGAACAATAATAAATATATTGAATATTTATGATCTTTTTTAGGGACAATGTATATGATATAATAGTGCCGATTGACTCTACGACCTTTTGGAATCAAAATGACATGAGGAAGAGGCCTTTAAAATATTAAATTGTTCTGAAATTAATTTGACTTAAAAAGGTTTTCGGAATCAAAATGACCTGACGAATAAGTCTTTAAAATGTTAAATTGTTTTGAAATTAATTTGACTTAAAAATGTTTGTCTGCACCATTATTTCTATTGTATTCATTATTCTAAACAGATTTTTTTTTTTTGTTGTGCATATAACCCCCACAATGCTATATACCCATAATTTTTTAAATATTTTATTGATAATTTTTTTTGTTTGAAAAAAAGATTCAAATGTAGTCCATTAGAAATAAAAAGAAATGTTCGAATAAATAAATAGTTATATGAATTTAAAATAAATAAATATTTTCTATTAATTAAATTAGAATTAAGATTTGAAGTATTCATGTCTAAAAGAAAATTCATAAAATATATGAAAAAATTACTAAAAATATTTTATTTTATTTTTATTTTTTTAAAATGATTCGTATATTGACATGATTTCAATTTTTTTTTAAAAAAATACTTAGTAATTTTATCCAAATATGTTACATTTGATGGTACTACCTAAAACCATTTATGTTGTAGCGTGCTAATGAAAAGGATACAGAAGCAATGATCCCGAACATTCATAGATCCTCAAAACCAACAACATTGTGTCTGTGTTCTGTGTGGATAGAAACATAGCGTGCATTGTGAGGCGATTTCTTTAAGTAAGTTTACATGAACCTGTTTTTGTTCGTAGAGTTTTCTTTATTTCAAGTGCCTGATGTTTTTTCTGACTCGGCATTTTTAACCCAGAGATTTGCTGATGGTATGTTGAAATGGATTTCTGGAGTTTCATACGAAGACGATGTTAAAGAAGTGCCATCCTCGACTGATGTCAGCCACTGAGATAACTACAAGTGTATTCAACGTTGTCCCTCATTAGAACTTCTAATTCTATTGCTTATCATATTACTGAAAGCATTGACTGATGACATTGAAGATATTTTCTACTTCTCTTTTTCCTTTATTAGGATGATCCTTCAGCTTTAAATGGGAACAACGATCCCCTCGGTTTTGATGGAATGGCAGATGGCGAGGCGGAAAAAAAAAGATTAACGCTGAACATCTTGCTTTATTGTATCTTCCTTTTGTTTGTTTTAGCCTACCATTGTGTCTCCCTAAATTTTTCCTGGTTTCTATAGTAATAATAATGTTCCTAATAATTTACCATGTTCCTCTAGCAGTCGAGTAACTTTTCAAAATTTTTAAACCGATTTTTGTATAGAATGTTGAGTATTATTGAGTTAATAAAGTTAAATATAATTAAATTTCTATGAAGTGAAATTGCCGAGAACTTTTTACCGTTGGATGATATACTCACACATGCACTTGCATGAGTATTGATTTAAAAGTGAAAATGCAGTGGCAGATATGAATTTTTCCCTTCATTACCTAGAAATTCTTAGCTTCTTGCCTCTCGCCAGGTCTTGGGATGGAACCCCATTTGAGCTTCATATGGGCTTTTCCCTTCTCATGGTGCACTTCATGTTAGTGGGACCGCATCGTTTTCCCCCAGTTTCTTGTATCAGAGTCGGTTCTATTGGGACCGTGCGATGACGTATCCGTTTATGGGAGTCTGCTTCCCCACGTATCCGTTTATGGGAGTCTACTTCTAGTATGCTTGGGGCACCCAATTGGGCATGGGCTTCCGAAGACTCACAAGTGAGGGGGCGTGTTAGAATATCACTTGTGAGTTGTCCCACATCGTTCATACATGGAAAATAGACTCACCTTATAAGTCTAACGGGCTACTCCTCCTTCCACCAATTAGTTTTGGGATGGAACCCCACTTGGGCTTCATATGGGCTTTTCCCTTCTCATGGTGCGCTTCATGTTAGTGGGACCACACCCCTTTTCCCCCAGCTTCTTACAGGTAGGAATAAATTTACTTATAAAGGCTCCTCTAATTGGACATCACTAAAATGAGCAACATAAATTTACTCACTCCGTTCACTTAGCTCGGTCGCTCCGCTTCTCTTGCTACGTTCGCTTCATTACGCTTGCAGGCATCAGCCTGCCTCCTTTCCTTTGTCAATATATGAGCCATACCAACAAAGCTCCACCTTGGCGAATATATCACCTCCTTAGGAGAACACAATAGCGAGCACCTCTGCGAAACACATTCAGAAGGCCGGGGGTACCATGCAACTCTAGCATGCAGAAACATTCAACAAATCCAAGCAATGCTAGAATTTGTCAGAAGTAACAGTCTTAGTCAACATATCAGCAACATTCTCTTCAGTATGAACTTTCTCCAACTGAATATTACCAGAAGCAATCCATTCCCTAATCTTGTGGAACCTCACATCAATATGCTTCGTCCTAGCATGATATATCTGATTCTTAGCCAAATGAATGACACTCTGACTGTCACAATGTACTAAAACTCCACCTTGTTGAATACCCAACTCTCTAACCAATCCAGCAAGCCACACTGCTTCCTTTGCCGCTTCAGCCAAAGCAATATACTCAGCTTCAGTTGTAGATATAACAACTATAGGCTGAGTATTCGACCTCCACCAAATAGGCCCTCCACCAAGAGTGAAGACATACCTAATGGTAGATCTCCTATTATCCAAGTCCCCAGCATAATCAGAATCCACATATCCTACAACCAAAGGATCCAACCGCTGATCTCCAAACACAATCCCATGTGCTGCAGTACCTTTCAAATATCTGAAAATCCATTTGACTGCCTCCCAATGCTGTTTACCCGGCCTAGACATATACTTGCAAACTTGACCAACAACATGAGCTAAATCATGACGGGTACATACCATGGCATACATCAGACATCCAACAACACTGGCATAAGGTATCTCCACCATATCCTGAGTCTCCTTGTCCGACTTGGGGCACATATCAACAGAAAGCTTGAAGTGGTTTGCTAATGGAGTGCCCACCGGTTTTGCTTCAATCATCCCAAACCTCTGTAGCACCTTCTCCACATAACCCTTCTGAGATAACCACAGCTTCTTTGATCATCTATCCCTGCGAATCTCCATCCCAAGAATTTTCTTCGTAGCCCCCAAATCATTCATCTCAAATTCTTGACTCAAAAGGCATTTCATATCAACAATATCACGCATATTCTTAGCAGCAATAAACATGTCATCAACATAAAGTAACAGAAAAATAATAGAACAATCACCAAGGCTCTTAGTGTAAACACAACAATCGAACTCACAACGCTTGTAGCCAATCTTCAGCATATACGAATCAAACCGTATATTCCACTGCCGAGATGCTTGCTTCAAGCCATACAAGGATTTCTTCAATCAATCATTTCACAGATTACATCAATTTTAATTCACTGTTTTTCAACTCATATAATTTTAACTACTTTCATTTCTTATAATTTGTCTTTTACTTTGACATCATATCAAATTTAACCATTATATTTTAAATATTTTTTAATCTTAAATCTACTTTATTCAATATAACTGAATTTACCTCACAAACTCATATCCAATCGCCCCTTTAGTAATGTATGTGTGTGTATTTTAACTTCACTAGATCTAGTGGTTACCGAATTATATTTTTCAACAAATGTGCTTGTTTTTAAATTGAAAAATTATACTCTAAAAATAGTATGACATAATTGAAAAATTATACTCTTTGTACCGAAAAAAAAATAAAAAATAAAAAATTATACTCTAAAAATTATATAATGGCAATAGGCCTGTGAGGCTATATCTGGCCCATTAAGCCAATGTAGCTTGAATTTTATGGGCTCAGCCCATAACTTTCGCAAATCCAGTAACAAACGTAGCTCAATGTTTTCTTGAGAAAAGGGCAAACCAGTTCATAATTAGAGTCGAAGTACCCAAACTTCACCTAAAGAAGAATTTTTTTTCTCGTCTCCTTCAGCTCTTCGACAGTCGCAGCTTACATTTTCGAAATGAATGTGAGTTTGGGATTTCCTTTTTCTGTGTTTCCGATTCATTTGATCCATGGAAAGTCGATCCCTTTTTTAATTTTAGGTTTTAATATTTTAATTTTTCATAATTGCAGTTGGCAGATTCAACCCCAGCTGTGAGCAAATTGCTTGCCTCCGAAGCCGATTCTCAAAGAACTCTGTATGAGTGTACTCTGTTTTACTTATGAAGATCCTTTATCCTGATTCTCCAAAAGTTTTTTTTTTTTTTTTTTTTTTTTTTAAAAAAAAATCTAGGGTTTTAGCTTAATCGGGATTTATTTATGATGTTGAATTGGATTCCATAATATGGGCGTTTATTTATTTATTTATTTTTATCTTTGCGTATTATTATCTGGGTTTTTCTTGTAGGTATCCATATGTTACTGGTACCTCAGTGGTTGGCATCAAGTATAAAGATGGCATTCTCTTGGCTGCAGATATGGGAGGTTGGGTTTTGCAAATTTTGCTTCTTGTTTTGCTTGTAAAGATGTCTCTAGTTAAGAAGCATTTAAGTAGTTAATCATGGACATGTTGTGGATTCTGATTTCAAATTTTATGCATCTACCCGGACGTGTTTAACACATGGATCTCGATTGTTACTTTCGGAGGGCTTCTAGTTTTTACATCCTATAATTTATGTACTTCAAATCTGTACCACACTAGTGGAGTCTTTTGACCAAGTTAAATTGAAGTGGGCTGAACTCTCTGGACATGCTGTGGAAGTTTTATATTTGACATGAGATTATATGTACAAAATATTTTGACTATGATTTCTGGTTTGCATTTCTTTGAAATATCTTCTTGCTACCTAGTTAGGAGTAATAGTATAAGGTGAAGAGAAAACAAAGTGTTACGCATGCTAGTTGATTGTAAATTGTGCTAGTCTAGTCTTGTTGAAAAAAAATGTAAGGAAATTGACAGTAACTGGCACTGTCTTTATTTGTGGATTGCATGCAGTATATTCCATGTGGCTTTATGACTGAATATACTATTTAGACGTTCCGTTCTATTTGCTATCTGTTCAGCCTGTTATGCTGCGAAGACATTGTTTGTTATTTGCTAACATAATCTTGGTCGAAAATTTCTTGATTTGGGTAGGTTACACTGATAATATGGTAATCTACATTGTCAACTTCATGTCGGTTGATATGACACCTTTGCTTGCCTATTTCTTGAAATTTGTAAGAACATATGAAGGAGATTGTCTTTGATAATTGTTAAGCCCCAGTGGCTTTAGCTATAACTAAAAAGTTAGTTGATATCCAATATTTAGCTGAAACTGTTTTGTTCTTCTCTTATGTGCATACTTCTGGATTTTGCAAACTGCTCAATCTCAAGTTCTGTTATTCACATTTTTTTTTTTTTCCTTTAATAGGTTCATATGGGTCGACCTTGCGTTACAAAACCGTGGAGCGATTGAAGCCTGTAGGAAGGCACTCTATTATAGGTGCCAGTGGTGAAATAAGCGATTTTCAGGAGATAATGCGCTATCTTGATGAGCTTATGTAAATCTTATATACCTTGACTGGACATATAACTTTTAAGTTGATTTCTTTCCGCCGATTGTTTTATGCTGGGTTGGCTGGTAATGGTGATTGTATGAGTTGTGGGAATATTATGACTATTGGTTTTTGCATTTTTTGGTGGGATGCAGCTTATATGATAACATGTGGGACGATGGAAACTCACTTGGCCCTAAGGAGGTCCATAACTACCTGACAAGGGTGATGTACAACCGTCGTAATAAGTTCAACCCACTTTGGAACTCACTTGTGCTTGGGGGAATTAAAAACGGGCAGAAGTATCTTGGGACGGTATGTATTGTTTCTTCTATGCATAATCAACAATGTGATTATTAGTTTGAGGTATACCTGAGTATGTGAATTCTGCAATTTTTTTTTTTATGTATAAATAAATTATATATATATTTGTTTTATGTAATTCAGGTTAGCATGATTGGTGTGCACTATGAGGACAACCATTTGGCTACTGGATTTGGTAATCACCTTGCTCGGCCCATTCTGCGTGATGAATGGAATGAGAACTTGACATATGAAGAGGGTGTAAAATTACTGGAGAAATGCATGCGTGTGCTCCTTTATCGTGATAGATCGGCTGTTAACAAACTTCAGGTATTCATAACTTCTTTGAAGAAATGCAACTTTGATACTCCTTCGCTGTTTAAGTTCATTTCATCAAAACTTATATGTGATATATTTACGTAGTAGGTACTAATACTCTTTTTGGCCAAGATGTATAGTTGTCATGGTGTGTACTATTTCATTTCAGAATTAGGTGAGTAGATCAATAACTCGAGACAGCCCAACATTTTAAATTCCAAAATGAAATCAAACTAAGAATAACAGAGCTCTCCTTAAAGAATTGGCCAATTTTTTTAATGTTAATGGGGCAGTGGGGACACCAATTGATATTTGATAGTACTCTCACATCCACAGCGTAATTATACCCCTAACCACGAATCTTCATTTCAGATTGCAAAAATCACTGAGGAAGGTGTTACAATTTCTAAGCCGTATGCATTGAAGACTTTCTGGGATTTCAATGCTTTCAAGAATCCCACCGCAGGTGCTGAGGGTTCGTGGTAGTTTTGGTGGTGTCTGATCTGGGAAGCAGAAAAAAATGAGATTATCATGTGTCTTAATTGACTTGAACCAGTGCTGCATTTTGTATTTCGTGTACTACTTTGACACCTTGTCCTGCTGTCCGTAGTAAGCCTTTGGGATCTATATTTTTCAAATGAATTTGGTGAATGTGTACACTGTGTTTTCATTTTCGCAAAGTTCGTTGTCTGGAGTCTGGTTAATTTAATCAAATGGTATGCCGATGACTAGTAGACTTGATTTCTGTTTCAACACCAGGCTTGGAATAGTTTTAGTTACTTGTTTCACCTTGGCCGATTGTGTGAAATATTGAAGTAATTAAGTACTCTCAGCCAAAAGGCAGATCCTCTGGATGTGTATTACATTTTTTTTTTTTCCCCTGTAATCTCATTTCATGGAAACTGCAGTCATGAAATTATAAGGTTTTGAACAATGTATCAACAGACTTGACCCAAATCTTTTTCTCCCGAAAAGCCCTTGTTTTTGCGCCTTCTTTGCGCCTCCTCACTGACAGGTGCTCCGCACCCCTATGGCATTGAGCGGCAGCGCACTTCCGGCGGGTTTTCGCCTCCTCTCTCACGTGGCCAAGGGCGGATGCAAATGGGTCGCTACCTCTATCGCGTGGGCCTTAAACCTAACACAAGAATATTCTCTGTGATTCAATTATGGCTCATAAATTCCATAAATATTATTAATAAAGACATATCATGAAACGTCCAACTAAAAAACTAAAGCTCAATAAAATACGATGTAACTAAAATCACATGAGGCTAACTGTTTTTTTATTAAATTGTTGTACCTCTCAAGTAATCAATATATCTATTTATTTATTTCCTTCAAAAACAATTTAGTCAATTTTTGCAGGTGAATGGTTTGCAATTTATGTGGATATAAAGAAAGAGGGAAACGTGAGATGAAACCCAAAGGAATGGGGCCAAACTACAAAGAGAAACACGATACCAGACAAACTAACCGTAAGACAGACAAATCTCAACCGTCCAAAAAAATTAAAAAAAAAAAAAAATTGAAAAAATATTTGATACTTTCTTCTTCAAAAACCCCAACAAATACAATATCTCATTTCATTTCTCTCTCTCTCTCTCTCTCTCTCTCTCTCTCACACACACACACACACACAATTCTTGATATATTTATGCTAAGTAATTGAAAATTGAAAAGTGATGGGAGAAGAAGAAGAAGAAAAGGTGTGTGGTGGGAGAAGAAGAATAATGAATGAATTTTCTCCACTCTCTTCAGCTCCTCCTCCTCTTTTCTGGAAATCCACAAGAAGATCTACTGGTAATTTATTTTTCTTTACAAAAAAAGAAAAACAAAGAAAATTGATGGGAAATGCTACAATCCCGTTACGGAACCACTGCGTCAGGATTTGTAACCGTTAGATCATCACGTAACCGTCGTGGATAGTTGATCTTAACGGTTACAAACTCCGACGAAATGATTACGTAACGGAACTGTAGAATCTCCCATTATTTTCAGTCCACACAAGTCACAACACTCTTGGATTATGGGCCCTCACTTGTTGTTGGGCTCTAATTGGCACACTTTCTAAGAGCATCAATACTTGAATTCAATGGATAAAATCAAATGAGAAGAAATCAAAATTATTTGCCGAGTTTCTACTTGAGTCTCGAAGTAGCTTAGTGTAAATCGGGTCTCTTTTTCGTATTATCACATCAGATAGACCCTGTCGTCTACTTTTACTTGTATTGGATAATATCTAGCTTATTTTGTGTATTTCTTACATGACATCTAAATTTTTTTTGGCCAAACTTGAAACATCCATTGTGGATGCTTTGTGAGTATTTAAATTTTTTTATTCTAGTGCGGTACTCATGCGATGCATGGGCTATTTTTATTAAGATAAATGTTTATTTTTGGATAATTGAAATAACGTAAAAACCATGTATTGGAATACTATGCATTGGAATAAAAAAAATTGTTAGATAATATGAGATTCAGAAAAAATTGGGCCAAATTTTTTTTTAATAAACATGATATGTTGCAATTAGGCAAAAATACATGTTATAGTATTTTACCTAATTCGAATTCTCGATTTTATGGTAAACGGTTTTTTTTTAATAAAAAATGAGAGAATTTTTACTTCTACGAAATTGTCATGCCGAATTTTACCTAAATTAACTCAATTTCTATGCAATCCGATTATTTTAATACAAAATTGATCTGTTATAATTAGAAAAAGATATATCTAATAATATTTTGCCTAATTCGAAATTTTCAATTTTATGGTAATCGCTTTCTTTATTAAAAAATGAGAAAGAATTTTGATTTTTGCTAAATTATAAGCTTGAGTCATAATTTACCTAAACAAAATCCACAAAACCAGTGTTTTGTGACCCGGACCGGCCCGGCGGGTCGACCCGGGACCCGGTCGACCCGGACTCGGAACCGGTCCGGGTGGGTTAATTGGACCGGGCAACAACGGACCCGGTCAACCCGGTCAAAACTCGGTCGACCCGGCCTTGACCCGGTCGACTCGGAGCATTGACCCGGCTGGGTCAACCCGGTTGACCCGGTCTATATGTTTTTTTTTTTCTTTTTCTTTTTAAAAAATAAAATTATGTATATATATTTATATGATAAATATATACATATTATTACCACTTTAATCTACAAATTTTACATACAAAATATTTAAATTTGTTATTTTTATATATATTTATATATCACAAAATACTCTATATATAATTTTATAAATTTTAAAATTAATTATCTGGTTCAGCAATTGACCCGGTGACCGGCGGTTGAACCGGTGACCCGGTGACCCGAAGACCTGCCCGGGTCGATCATCGGGCCGGGTTTAAAAACTATGCACAAAACCCATAAATTTATGTTCCATATATAGCTGCTCAATATTTTGGGAATAATTTAAAAAAAAAAAATTAAAAAAACTGGCAAAAATAGAATGAAATAAATGTTGGTTGAGTTTTCTTGTTACTTTTTAAATAAATAGGTTATCTATTTATATATGTATAGATAGATTAGATCCCACCGGTTTGGAATAAAAGTGAAAAAGACAAAAAAGAAAAAAAGAAAAAAAAAAAGAAAAACATGTTTTTCTTACTATTATGTTCTTTTACTACCATTTCAAGTCAAGGATAATGTGTGAATTCTGCAAAAGTTTAATGCATAGTAATAATTGTTTCTCTCTTTTTTTTTTTTTTTTAATTTGCTACATTCATGCTTTGCTTGCACTCCACAATTTGGCCCATCTTTGTTTTGAATTCTGATAGTTGTAACCTTTTTTTTTTTCCTTTTTTGGTGAATTAGGTGACGATTAAGTATTATATCAGTTACATCTCTCTC